TGGGGGGGGGGGGAATCTGGAGACGTTGGAGCAGGTTGAGGAGGTTTGAACATGTCCACCAGCAGGGATATCAGCTGGGGTGGGAGCAGGTGTAGGAACAGGCGCACCTTGAGGAGCCGCAGCCGCAGCCGCAGCCGGGGTAATAGACGAAGAGGAAGGAGCGGCAGCAGCCGGAGCAGATGAAACAATCGGAGCTGAGGAAGAAGGAGGACGAGCAACCGGAGCAGACGAAGAGATCGAAACTGAAGGAGCAGCAGCAGCAGCAGCCGGAGCAGACGAAGAAATCGAAGCTGAGGAAGGAGCAGCAGCAGCAGCAGCCGGAGCAGACGAAGAAATCGAAGCTGAGGAAGGAGCAGCAGCAGCAGCAGCCGGGGTAGACGAAGAAACCGAAGCTGAAGAAACAGCAGCAGCAGCAGCCGGAGCAGCAGCCGCATCGGCATCTTGCTTCGTGCCATCATCTACCTTGCCACCGTCGTAGTAGATCCCTAGAGTACCAAGTCGTCAGTCTTTCTTCGCGTTCCTCCAATCAATCCCTAAAGAAAAAAAAAAAAAAAAAAAAAGAAGGCCGTTTACTCACCGTGACCACTCCCACCGAACCGACCATCTTTAGAAGCATCAATGCCGCCATAGATCTGTTGCTGGCTGCCGTTATTGCCATCAACAAAACCGTCCCTGCGGCGAACGGTAGCAGTAGCAGTAGCGGTAGCTGTAGCGGTGGCAGTGGCAGTAGCAGTAGTAGTAAGAGCAGCAGCATCAGTATCAGTAGTAGCAGCAGCATCCGAGGTAAGGGTCGAGGTAGTAGTAGAGGTAGAAGTGGTAGTACTGGTCTCAACAGCCGGAGCAGAACTCGCGTCCGACGACGCAGAAGTAATGGGGTTAGTGCCGTTGCCAATGGTCGAGGCCGTAGTACTAGTCAGAGTAGCGGCCGCAGACGAAGACGAAGACGAAGTAGGAACGAGCGGGGCGTCGCTGCTGCTGCTGTCGCTGCTAGTCGAGGACGCAGCAGGTGCTTGAGCACCACCAAAGGAAGCGACAAAAGGAATAAGAGTGGTAACGGGAGAAGGAGGAGGAAAGACAATAATAACAGGAGTTTCAGAGATGGTAGTGGCGGCAACAGCATAACCTTGACCCTTGGTAGGAGTGGCCTTGGCCGCCTTGCTGTACCACACAGGGGTTGACTTCTGGCCACCAGCAACGAGGGCACTATAGAGGCTCTTCACGGGGGCGGAATCACCTGCATAGCTGTGATGAGGGACTTGGGAGATGGGAACGATGGGAACGACCTCATCGGGAGAGAGGATGACGAGAGGGCCATCATCGTTGCTGGAGGTTCCGCGGATGTGGTTGTTGTTGTTGGTTGGTGCAGCTTGGGCGAGCTGGGAGACAGCCGCGACTGCTCCGATGAAGGTGTTGGAGTACTTCATGGCTGTTTTTTTGTTGGACGAGGTAGGTTAACAAGTTAGCAACGAGAAGATAGATAGACCGCTGAGGTAGGTGGTATCGTATGAACTCTTCAAGGGAGTCTACCAAGATAGACGGAGACACGTACTTTGAAGTGTGCTTGGAAGTGTGCGGGTGCCACTGTCACCTAACAGTCAAGAGAAGCCTGGATGTTGGTTCTTTGCTGTGAGGTAAAGAAATAAGATGTCAAGATACAATCGAGTTGAGAGTGATGGGTGTTTATATCTAGGTGGCCGGACTGGAGAAGGGCCTTGGACCAAGCGCACATGTTTCTTCCCTTATGCCGGAAGGGCGCATAGCTGGGGAAGATTTCATCATCGATCGATGGCGAATCTTGGGTACAGCAAGTTTGAGGCGGTTCATACTTCTCTGACTTTGGTAGAATCTGGGCGTGAAGCTGGGAATGGCAATGCAGTATGATTTGAAGGGATGAGTAAGTTACGAAAGGCCACTTATTGCGAGTCGAATACTTGGATTTGTTGCATGGTCTGGGAAATATCTCTGTATTCGCGCATAGAACTGTCCAGAACTGCTCTGGGAATCTACGTCTACCAGGTTGTTCATGTTATATGCCCTTACGAAAGCAAACAACTTACCTGCGTAAGCAAGAAGTAGTAAAGGCTTGCATGTGGCCGAGGCCCACACCCGTGGAATGGTCCACGGCATCTCCTACTGCTGTTCAGGAATGGGGGTGACAGCCAACAAGGCGGCGAGATGCTTTCGTACTGGCAGCTTCTCCTCGAACCTGACCAATCCTTACTTACCATGCCTCACTAAATCTTCTGTCTGCACCTGACATATACTTTACAAAGAAAGGATCGAGGTAAACCAGCGCGTTCCATGACTGTGAAGTGTCCTTGCAGCATCTCGAGTCGCTTCTGTGAGCTTGGTACATGCTCGCACAACACTGTAAGATAAGGAGTGCTTCCAAGGACGATGAAGCATTCGCAGGGCTATGACGCTGTCATTTCCTGACAATAGGATCGATCCCGCGCTGAGACGAGGTGAGTTGAAGCGTCATCAGTCCGCAAGCATGTCCCAGTACAAAAAAAAATAAAAGAAACCATGAGAGATTCCACCCCTGTTACCTACTCTGCGACGTCTTACTTGGATGAAACTGTCATTCTCGAACAAGAAGCATGCAGAAGCACCAAGAAAAAAAAATCCTATACAAGGAGAAGAGTGTTTATGTTCCAGCAGTAGAGGTGGAACCAAGGCTCTCAAACGCCCTCGGACCTTACTTCTAATCAATGTATCGGAGCTGTCAAACTTGCATAAGTAATGCCTCCCATACATATACAGGCATGCATGTATAATGCAACACAGATATAGCTATAGGTAACCAGGCGTTCTTCCGCATCTCAAGACGTTTATGTGCTCAAAGCCAAATTCTGCGAGTTCATCTTTCTTTCCTTCTTTTTTCCCTCCCTTTTGCATTTAGCGTCATGAAGGTTATAAAACCAGGAAACACCATTGCCACATCATCACGTCTTACCCCCTCTCTCTGCCTTGAATCTCAACCCACTGCACGAGCGACGCCTATCTACATACCTACCGCACACCCAAGCATCTAGCATCTAGCACCAAGCACCAAGCATCACCACGACGCACCAAGAAACGCACATACAATGTTGCCCTTTGGTGTCGTATCTCCAACGGATTCCTGGATGGACCATTCCTCAACAGCTGCGGCAGGTGGCTAACTTCTTGTTCATGGTGGGAGCTCCCTACCTACGCGGCCACGACTACAAGATTCCCATTTTTGCCTCAGCAATCACTTACCTACAAAACTCGCTCACGAACCCGGAGTGCTTCACACAAGTCAAGTCGGACGCAAGCAGGCTAGATCTCACCAGGTGGGGAAGTTGGCCAAGTTGAGCTAATTTGACGTTAGACTTGCCATTGACTTGTTTTGTTACCTCTAGTTATTGTAGACTTTGCAAAAGACAAGTGGTCTGGGGAGCACCTTGCCCGAAAGCCCGTATGACTTTGGTAGTCCCTGAGTTGATTATCTAAGCTCCGAACAAGTCAACTAAATGGACCAATTTAGTGTAGAACTGTGTAGAAACAAATCAAAATCTGACATGGCAAGCACTTCAATCCGCAGCAAGAAAGAGCAGCAGAAACACACGGATAGAGTGTAAAACCATGCTTTTAAGTGACGCTGATGATCCTATACATTTAACCCTAGACTTGAAAAAAAACCCGAAAACACAAACACTTTACATGTTTTTCCTCGTTCCTCCACCAGACCATGCTTGATCATAGTCGAACCTTTCTCGCCGGACAGAACCGACATTCTTTCTCTACCATACCCTAGCCTGACCTGACCTGACCCGACCTAACCTGACCCATGTGTTGTGTTGTGTTGTGCTGTGTTATATCTCGTAAAACCCGACCCAATCCTGTGCCGACCGGAGTGTAGTCCGCAACTCATGCCTTGAAGCCTGGTGCTGGTGGAGCACTTCCTTCGGCTGACCCATATAACGTGCTGCTTTCCCTAGGTAGAGCTCTGCTGCCAATCATGATGATGACGACAGAGAGAAGCAGCACTATGAGGCAGCTGATTGGACTGGATCCTCCTCTTCTATGACCCTGAGAAGCGCCCTATTATTTTCGATCCCCCGATACCTGCAACGCCCGGTTCTTTCTGTGTTTGTTTTGCCAACTGGAGACCCTAGAGTTGTGCTTCCAGAAGGCGAGACAGTATGATTTAAAACTCGTTTCCGGTACACTTTCCAATCTCTATCTTCGTTTTCATCGTGGGGGGTATTATTCCTCTGGAACGCCAGAGAAGAGACCGACACGCATGCGATGGCTCTGTAGAAACGGATAAACAGTTAGTGATATGCTTTAGGTGCGCATAACCAAAACGATTAGAACCAGGGCCAACTCACGTAAGGCAACTTGGGAATGATGACCGCCAGGACAGCCAAGAAGTTGATGATAAAGTACGTCAAGTCGTAGTGCGTGTAATGCGTGCTGAGCAGGAACAGGACAATAGGCACGCTCAGCAAGAACTTCTTGGCAGGCGTGTACTGGGCTCCGTCGTCGATCTGCTCCCACATGTTCAAGTTGTCGTAGGCGCCGCCGTTGAACTCAAAGGGCACGCCCCGGACGTGGTGGAACATGATGTATGAGCCGATCATGTACGTGATGTTGGTCAGCGTCCATGACGTTTCTTGTGAGACACCGGGGACAATATCGTATATGATCTTGAGGGCGAGGATTAGGACGAAGTGGATTGTCCATGCGCCTGTTTGAGGAGAGGAGAGGTTAGTATAAGCTTTACACATGTCGAAGCTTGGTCGCACCCCGCGGCGGAGAGGGCAGGGATCACGGCAAGTCTGGAGGGGGAGGGATGGGGACGGGAGGATCATTACCCTTTGCGTTTACCCAGTTGGCATTCAAGTTGGGGAGAGCAGCCTGGTCGCTCAGCTGCTCAACGGGCTCAAGAGGCTCATGGTAGACCTGGAGAATGCTACTAGATCTCCTCCTGCGGCCACCCTTGTCTGTCATTGCGTTCTGATATGTTAGGGAGTCCTGACGCGGTGCCAAGGTTGCGGCGGGTGCGTCGTAAGAGACGGTGCGTGGGAGGACGATTGAGGAAGCCACCTTGGCGGTATTGAGACCGACGGAGATGGTCGTCGGCGTGGTTGATGTCTATGTAGAGATTTGGGAGCGTGGGTTTGCGCGGAGAGGCGAAGATCACGGACTAGTTGGTCTGTCGTGTTCGTCGCTGCCCTACGTACTTTGGAGGCGTAGATGAAATATAAAACTGAGTCTCTTGGAATCCCGGGATGCGCAAACGGACTTTGATTCAGGGCCGCCCGATGTTAATAGTCGTCTGTTGACTTGATCTCTTGACAGTGATGCGAGGATGGTGCAACTTGTCGGTCGAGGTGGGATGATGTCACTTGGCTTTTTTGGCGAAAGGAAACCAGCCAGTCACCGAAATAGAAGGTTAAAAAGGGGGGAACAAGGTTGATAAATGTTCGCTAATCTGGTATCGATGCTGGCGCCGTCTGGTAGATTTCGGTTGTCGAGATGAACGAATACTGTTGGTATCAATCTAGAATGTCGGGAGGAAGCAAGGCCGGTCCTGAAGAGGTTGAGACGGGAGGGGACGTGCCGGCAAGGTTAAGGTAGGCCTGTACGCTAATAAGGGCTCAAGTCTAGCTAGTCTAGGGGCCCGGTGCTGGCTGTGTACTGTTGAAGTGGGATGGAGTTCCCCGTTTGTCCCCCCAAGTGGAAGGCCGACGTTGTCAACTTCCACTTTGGAGAAAGGAATCCGTCGGCGAATCAGCAGCGGGGAATGGTATCCAGGAGTGGAGAAGTGTTTCTACCTCAGCTGTCCAGTCTGAAGTGCTCTGGACTCCCATCTTGCTTTTTCTTTTCAGCTTTAACGGATCACCAGCTACCTATCAGGTAGACTTTGAAACAAAAGTGTTTACGGTATACATAGCATCCAATATGTCTACGTAACCATCATAGATTGCCAGTAAAATATAAACCCCAACAACAGGAAATCAAGAGGCCACGCGTACCCAGACAGACCCCTAGGTAGTCTAGGTACCTTTGATGATTGACCACACACCGTCCCGCATCCCGCGGACGCCCTTTTGGTGCGGACCCAAGGGACCTTGAAACAATCCTGACCTTGCAGCTTGGGGGGGAGGGGGGGTGGTGCCTTGTCGTGGCAGGCATCATTCCACTTGACTGATGAAAGGGGTCTCTCCCCACGTGAGTCTTGAGGCTGCGACAGGCGAGCAGCTGGCAATCCATAGGTACCTTAGCAGCAGCTCATGGCAGGCATTGGTGGAGGCTGAGCAATTCGCAAGTGGATCGCGTATCATTGGTGTCATATTCCCCAAAATTACCAGACGGGGCTCTAGACCGCCTCGGCCACAAGGGTCTCCTTGGTGCTTTTTGTTAGCGTCGCACACTGCAAACGAGATAACGCGGTACCCAGATCTCGTCCCTGGCGTGTAAGGTTGCGAAATTGTAAAATTTCGGCTTGCACTGCACATAGCTGGAATTCGCTCTCCGTAGTGAGCCTGCCCCTAACAGCTGAGGTTGAACACAGCATACAACCTTCACACTTTACCCTGACACACCTGTTAATGTCGCCGGCGCCAAGATCCGTCACACTCCAATCCAAACCCTGCTCGACGCGAACTGCAAAACGACAAATTCAACTTCGAGATTCGTTCCACGGCCATCAACCCTCCCAGTTATCTCGGCCCTGCAGAGCCGCCATCTCACCGCCAGCACCCCGGAAACATCAAGCGCATTTCGGAAGACTGTTCCAATAAGGGGACCCCGTGTTTGACCGGCTCAAGCTACGCGGTGGTGGTACCGGTCAGTTGGTGTTGCTATTCAATCATTGATTTCAGCTTCAGCTCACCATTCACGAGCGCTCAGCTTTGGAATTACAAGGTAAGCCACCCGAGACTTTGAGGCGTCTTCTCTCGGACTATCCTGCGCGATTCAACAAACACCACCGCATTCATGGTTCCGCCTTGCATTTTGACCTTTGAATACTGCCTGGATGTCTTCTATCTATCTTTTTGGTTCATCACTGGGAGCCAAAGTTAACAACCATGAAAACCAGGGTTCAATCCGGCCATTTTTGGTCTACAAGCAGGGCCTTGCTTTTGTGGCGCTGTTGCCCCACTAAAATTTCGACGCTGGCATTTGCAGTGTTCGGCCACTTCACTTTGACTTGCCCAGACACTCACTCAGTCTCTCGTTTCACTTGTCAGATATCGATTACCCCAACCCAGAATGAGCGCTCCAGGTTCACCATCCAGCCGCAAAAGGCCGGCTGACGATGATTCGGATGCCTCGGGTGTCAAAAAGGCCCGGGTGGGAAATCCCGAGGCTGCCTCCAACGGACCGGCTGATGATTTCGAGGAGGGTGAGATAGGAGAGTCCCCTTCCGGATCTGAAGCGGCGTCGACCAAGGACGATGAAGCTGAGAGTACACCAGCGCATGGTGGTTGGAACCGCGGCGTTAGCAACGGCCTGCGGACATCCTTTATATCGCTGAGCACATCAAACCTGCGCAAAAAGTCGCAAAAGAAGGAAGCCGAGCCAGAGCCCGCATCAGAGGTGGCGTCGGCATCGCCTGTCAAGAAGACCAGAGGAGCGAAGCAGTCAAAAAGCTCATCGCCGGCGGACCAAAAGGTCCTGGATGGTTGGCTCGCCCTTCCTCCCCATGAGCCCTTCGCCCACTTCAGGGCACGACCAAGATACCCAGAATCGTGGCAGAACCGTTTTGTGGATTTCTGTGAGGCTGTTATTAGGCACAATATTCGATGGCCCGAGACAAAGATGGACGAGGCTCAGGCCAACAAGATGAACAACCCCGATCTTTTGCACAGGGCTTGGGTGCAGTGGCTGCAGGACCACGCGGACCAGAAATGCTGCTCTATAGATCAGGTGGCTGCGGGATCCAAGTTGGCTTCAGCGCACAAGCTGTCCAGAGAAAGCCTCGAAAAGATGATTTCTGAAGCACTCAATGGCGAGCCTGAGGGACCAAAGACACAGGCTAGAAAGAAGGAGCCAAAGAAGAAGGAAAAGTCTGCCCAAGCAAGATGGACCAAATTCACTCTCCAAGGTACCAGATTCGAGAATCTAACAATGCCACCATTGGTCCCAAAGTCGGACTTGGACGAGTTGAAGAAGAACAAAGACCTGTGGATGACCAGATTCCTTCAGTGGTCTCAGGATCTCATCAACCGGAATCAAGACCTTTTGACCGCCGATACTCCGGAGCTCCTGGGCGTTATCTGGACGTCCTGGTGCGCCTGGTTCAAACAGATCGTGACAAAGAACAAAACTCCCATCGGAAAGGACGTTGCTCGGAATTTCTTTCTCGAGAACAACGAGGATGTTGAAGCCGTTTACCGTGGCATCATGGCAGCCAGCCCAAGGCCAGCTTTAGATAAGGCAGAAGAGCCACCAAAAGACGAAGAGACAGAAGCTGCCGATGAATACAGCGAGCGCCCACAAGCGACCCCGGCCAGAAACGAGGAGCAACTATCACAACCCACAACGCCCAGAAACGAAGACGTCGACCTCCACATCCGCCACAAATACTTTTGCGGCCTCGAACAAGACCAGCTCTTCTGCATCGAATGCGCCTCCGACTCGCACGGCTCGTCCCAATGCCCCTTCCTAACCTGCCGCTGGTGCAGCGCCGTCGCCGAGCACCCATCCTACGCCTGCCCTTCCCGCCGCCGTTGTACCGAATGCCGTCAGCTCGGACACGAAAGCGAGTCCTGCACCGAGAAGCTCGCCCTCCCACGCGACCAGATGGAGTGCGCCATCTGCGGCTCGCGCGACGGACACCTGGAAGAGACCTGCGTCGAGCTTTGGCGCACCTTCAAGCCCGACCCTCTCACCTCTTCCAAGGTCCAGGCCTTGCCTATCTACTGCTACTGCTGCGGCAACGCGGGCCACTACGGCGCCGACTGCGGCATGAACATGGCGCGCCCGGACACGATTACGGTGTGGGAGACGTGGAGCAAGAGTAACGTCGAGCAGCTTTACGTGGATCCGGAATCCGAAAAGGTGGCCATCGCGCTGAAGCCGATGCCCAAGGGCTCGGTTTTGGCGCCGTATAACGAGGAGGACCCGTATGCGGACTGGGATGCGAATAGCAATGGCGGAAGACCGGATTTTGGACATGGTATTGCCCCGCAAAGACATGTCTTTTTCGAGGACGACGATGAGGATGAGGAGGATGAGGGATTCATTAGGCCGCCGGTGCAGAAGAACCAGGGATCGTCGTCTAGGATTCAGTTTGGAGGTGGTGGCAACCGTGGTGGCCGGGGTAAGAATGGAGGAAGTGGTGGTGCCTTCAACCCGCCACTTCCGCCTGGTCCGCCGCCTGGAAGACTGAGGGAGTTCCAGAGCTACAACCATGGCAGGGGAGGCGATTCTTTTAAGAATGGCGGCGGCGGCGGCGGTGGTGGTGGACGTGGCGGTCGTAATGGTGGCCGCGGTGGATACGGCGGCGGCAAGAGGGGCAGAGGCGGGAAGCAGTGGTGAGCGCGGCGAGGGCGGGCACGGAATTGAACAGGCACGTGGTGTCTCTTGCATGCGGTGATCTTGTTTGATCTTACGAGGCCCTTGGTCAGTGGCCTGGCTGGCATTGCTCTCTAGCTCAGCACTGAGAACCACAACTATTGCTTGAATGCGGTGGCTCGGCATAGGTTACCAGCGAAGGGGTTTGTAAGTTGCTCAGGCAGGGCCGTACCTCAATCTAACAAAGCTACGGTACTTTTTGTTAAAAACGAGCTTGTCATCAGCGGTTGGAGATACCCTTACAGGCGCATTGGTATCGAGCAAATATATAAAGGGATAACGATATATACGCAAGGCCATGGTAGTCGAGGGTGTGAAGTGTGCTCTAGGGGTTCCCTCTGGTTTTTGTCGTTGTTGTGAATCTTTTATCAAGCACACATCGTAATATCTTACAGGGATGCCACCCTTGATTTTCATGTCTGTATGTATGAGGGATGTGAATGGGACTCGGTATGGCGGTATGTATGGCGATTGAGAACTTTTATGCTGACCTTTTGGTTTTCATGGTTCCTGTTCCTTTGCTAGCGAGGCCAGACCTCAATCCTCTCATCCACTGTTGCTCACAACTAGAGGTACAAGTACTTAATTCATGCACAGTCATCTTAGAAACTGAACATACCTGCAACTTGAATGGTTCCATCCTCTTGAATGAACTGTTCCTCCTCCGCGACTGCCTGTTTTGGCATCACACTGCACATAGATAATCCGGATCATAGGCGGGTACTTCTAGGCAATCCCCGCCCGTCGTTGGCTCTTTCCATTTGATTATACAACTTCTAGGACGGTCATCACATACCTACACTCTTCCTCGATTCTTGGGTCTTTTTACCCCTTTGTTCCTTCATTTCTTGTTCTCGCTTCAAGTCTGCAATTTCGGAGAGACAAAAAAGTGCAGAACCATGGCCAGAGGATAGTGAGGCGAGAAGTACGCGTGATTATTTTCCACGATATCTTCAATTGTTCGGTCAACGACCAAGAAGAGCTTCACTTCTTCCTGACATGGCCATATGGTGGTAGTCGTGAGTGTGAGTGGAAACGCGGTCAACTTCTCCATTCCACACCCGATCATCACTGTTTCAAGTTCCCGTCATTGCGGCGCTTCGCAAAACAAGATCTCCTTTTGATGATGAAGTGTACATATAAAAGCCACTCCGCCCACCCGAGACCTTTAACAGTCGGTCAAGCCATCGGTGAATTCACAAAGTCTCCTGATAGATGAAACCACCTAAAGGTCCAACGCACTGAAAAACCGAAAGCTGTCTTGATTTTCAAGCTTTCCATCACCGCCTTGGTTTGACACTTCCAACTGTCAGTCAGCTAGCTAGCTAACACATCAGCTTAGCCGTTTGACATTTTTTTTTTCTTTCACCCTGGTTCCATAGTAGGGGTGACAACTCAGCAGCCAACTGCGGAGAGGGCTACTAAAAAGTCTCATCATTGATTCCATGAGAGGAGTCGTCCGACGGGAG